TTCTCTGTCACTGCTCTGTTTTATTGGCTTTGGAGCGGGTTGTTTTTTTTTTTTTAGGTCTGTATAGGAATGGGAAAACTCCCTTTATCCGTAAGCCCCACACAGCCTGCTCTGCCCGTGGCAAGTGCTGCTCTGTGTCAGCCTTACAGTGCTTACAGAAAAGATAGGAATTTTTTTTTTCTTCCTTTAAAGATTACCTAGTCGAGTCCGTAATCACCGCATCCCACTGCCTTGTGCTTGTGCCCAGTAGCACACTGCAGAGACTTTTAGTCAGCTGAGGAGGCAAGATGTCCCCCTTATTCCCCAGGAAATATTTCCACAATCAAGGATGTTTTCCCATTAGAAGAGAAATCTATTAGGGAACCTTTTGAAACTTGCCTAGAAAGTAACTGGATTTTTTTCCATTAAAAAAAGTTTGGATCCAGTTTGGATCCAAATCCTCAGCTGCATGTGCCAGGGACAGGGGGTGCAGCTGCAGAAGATCTAAGCCAGCCCCTTGGTTCAGGAAAAAGGTGGGACCCACGCCCAGGCTGCCAGCAGTACTGTGAGCGGCTTAGCCACTGCATACCCCTGCCTGCAGAGACACAAATACTTGCTCCATAATTCCTATGTAAGTTCAGACAGACAATTAAAGTCTTTTACTACAAAGGGACTTCCGTGATGCTCCACCTGGTTGTTCTGTTCCCCATGGTCACAGTTACGCTGTCTTTACTACACTCAGAGTGAAGATTGCAATAGAAAGATGTGCTGGGTGTGGTAGGAGCGTGAGAGTAGGAAGAAACTCAGCAATTTTCCCACCCACACACAGCAACACACCTTGACTAGAGACATGGGGGTTTAGTGCTTTTGGTGTTAACAGCAGAAAACCGTGCCTGCTTTCAGTCCTTCCACACTGGCAGGACTTGGTGTGCTTTATGAGCACTCAGGCACTCTGCAAATAGGTAGAATAAAACCATTAGACAGTAAAGGCACTGTAGAGATGAAACTTTGGTCCAGGACCAGCCTATTGTTATCTTACAAACAATCCCATGGCACTGCTCAGTACACAGAGCTGGAACAGATGCACAGCTACAAAGTACTGGAATCACTCCACATTAAACCCAAAGCTGTAAACTGCGGATGAACTGGCAGGTGCAAGGATTAGTTGGCTGGAAAGCACCAAAGCCTTTGAATCAACAAGGTTGAGTGTTGATAAATGTAGTTCAAGCTCATAACGTTGGAGTTCGGTGGAAAGACTCTGGCATAGATATTTGGAAATTCAAATTACATTGTTATAGTGGACCTTGTGGCCTTCCAGTTCAGTGTGTAGACTGGCAGACACACTCAGTGTCAACGAGCTGCTTGAACTGCGCGCCATCTGTCACTAACAACTTGCCATTTCCACATGTGAGTAAAGAGGTGTCCTGAGTTTTTTGAGAGCTGGTGGGTATGTGCTGTTAGGGTGACAGCACGGGTGGCTGTTCAGAGGGACGTCTGAATGAGTCCAAAGGCCAACAGAGGCACTATTGATAGTCATATCAGTAATTTGCTGTTTTATCTCCACGGTGGTGTCACAGGGTCTCTGGTCACCCTTTCATGCCTTTCCCACCGGGTCATGTGCCAAGTGATCAGTGATGCTGACCCAGCTGACTCTGTCCAGGACAATGGGACTTTGGATAACTTCTGGGTAACTCAGCTGGAAAGCAATTATGGATTCTACATTGGCCTGGGCTTGGCTGTCTTCTCCAGCTTCCTCATCGGAAGCAGCGTCATCCTCAAGAAGAAGGGGCTGCTACGGCTGGTGGAGAAGGGAGGCACCAGGGCAGGTAAGGATTTTGTGGGGGGCAGGAGGGAGGAGGTCCATCTGTTCCCAGAATCACACACATCACCCAAACTCCAGCACTCATAAGGCAAGGGAACACCTCTGGGTACACGTCAGCCTTCCATCAGCAATGTAAATAAAACCTTTTGTGGATGGATTTTTTGTGTGCGAGACCCGGAGAGCAGTGCTGTGCTGTAGCTAAGGAGCCAAGTTACAGAGTCCTGCATTGGAAGGGCTCAGCTAAAAGCAGCATTCCCGTGCCTTGCACTGCAAATAGCAAGTCACATGCGCTGTGTGATCAGATGTGCACCCACCAGAAGAACAATACATGCTCATCACAGCTCTTACATGGGAAAGTGTGAGGCCAGGAGGAAGCAGAGTGTTGAAAGCTCTTTGAAATGGGCCCCTTTGCTCAAAGACGCAAGTTATCACTGTGCCACAGACCAGAGCAGAACAGCACAGCTCCGTGACCCCACTCTTGCTCTCACTGATGCACTAGGCAGCTTTGCCACCAAGTCACTGAGACAAGGATGTAGCCCCGTGTGCTTTAATTGCATTAGCAAGAACCATTTACTAATGCAGAACTGCATACCTGTGATCTGCATGAACACTGCTTGTGGTTTCCAGAAGGCTACTTCTGAGGTATGTTGTTCAACAACATGTAGATAACTTTCCTCTAGCACGAAGCTCTTAGGGCGAGGCATGTGTTTATGTGCATGTATCTGTGGATGGGAAATGGTGGAGAAGCACTGCCTACAGCGGAATTGGATGCATCCCATCATTACAAATATGCGCTCTAGAAGCAGCATAAGTCCTACCTGGCAGCTGACCTACTTGCATAACTACAAAACAAAATAACTAAATACTACTGCTTCCCAGTTCTGGCCTAGGAACAACTCTTAAATCATTTTACAGAGGAAGTAAATATCACTGTCCCCATTCTACTATGTCCCCATATGGGGACACAGAGGCACAGAATGATGAAGTGACTGTCCAGAGTCAACCAGCAAAGCTACCAACAGCACCTGTGCTGCAGACCAGTCTTGAGTCCATCTCCATCCTCTGCCATTAGGCTGGCCACATACAACTGCTGAACTCAGATGGGTTTGCTTTTTGGCATTATATTTGCACAATGAAATACCAGTATTGTTTCAACTGTAGAA